CAGACAGAAGTCTTTTTTTTTTTTCCCCTGCGGTACTGGGCATACAAACTTAGGACCTTGCATTTGCCAAGCAGGCGCTTATGCCACTGAGCTATATCCCCAGTCTCCCTTTTCTGACCCTACCAGGTCTCTAGCTCCTGTCCTGGGGCCTTCTGTCCCATGAGGGCCTTTATCCTTCACTCTCTTGGGCCTTAGCACTTCCTGTATAATTGTGAGCTCACCCCAGGGATTTATCTTCTAGGACACGAGTGTCTGATCTCCATGAGTGTGTACCATACAATAGGTTTTTACATTTTTAAATTGTTTATAAAAAATATTTCATCACATAAAACTGTAAGAACTTTAAATTTCAGTGTCCATAAGTTTTATTGGAACACAGTGAGGTTCCTTTGTGTATATTGTCTATAGCTACTTTTGCATGACAAGTCAGGCTTAAGGTGCAACAGAGATTGTATGGCCACAAAACCTAAGATTTGTATTTGTGATTACTTCACAATTTGTAGCATTTGGAAATAGTGTCTGAGAGGTAAAAGACTTTATCTTAATCACAGAAAAATTCCTTATGGGCTGCAAGTGGCTGCAGTCCAGCTAACTATATCACCTCTGGGTGAGCAGTTCTTAGTACAAAGCTCTCTCCTCCCACACTATGCCCAGCTTTCTCCAGTGCATGGTCCATAATATGCTCTATGGGTGCACAGCAGCATGAAACATTTCCCTCCTGGAACTATGACCTCCTGGCCTCCCTTGCAATGAATGCGTGGACCTGCTGTGATTCATAACCCTAAACCACAGGAGTGGGTCTCATTGCACCTCCACAATGACCAGCTATTGAATAGACTGGGGTTAGTAACTCTTTCTGTAAAGGGCCAGGAAGTGGTTATCTTAGGGTTTGTGGCCATACAGCCTGTGATGCAACTTGAATCTTCCTTGCCAGGCATAAGTAGCTATAGAAAATAAGTAAAACAAATGAACCTCACCGTATTTCAATAAAACTTTATGGACATTAAAATTTGAAGTTCATATAATTGCATGTGATAAAAAATTTTTAATGAAGAATTTAAAAATGTAAAAGCTATTCTTAGTTTACAGGCTATACAAAAACAGGGACTGGGACAGATTTAGCCAGACAATTATGCTTTATACTGTTATAGATGATTTAGCAGATTAAGTCAGGTGTGGTGGTACATGACTATGATCAGCACTCAGGAGGCTGAGTAGGAGGATCTATGAGTTTGAGGCCAACTGGGCTACATAGTAAACCAAAGGCTGGGCTACATAGTGAGATTCTGCCTCACCCCCTCCCATAAAAGGTTGCTTCCAACTGAAAAATTTTATAATTATTATACTTAGATTGACGAGGGGGCCAGGGATATAGCTCAGCAGCACAAGCACCTGTCTAGTAAGGGCAAGGTCCTGAGTTCAATTCCAGGTTACCCCTCCACCGAAAGAAATGGACTAAAAATTAAATTACTAAGTTAATGTTTTTTAAAGCTAGTGACACAGTATAAGTATTATTATTATTATTATTATTATTAAATTTTAGGGAAGGATCTACAGGGTGTTCAGGGTCTCACTACTAGATCAGACTCATAGTGATCCGACTGTTTACAGCCTCCCAAGAGCTGGGATTACAAGCTCACACATGCCCAGTCTCAGTTGCCCTCTCAGCTTGTCCCAGGGGCGGGGCCAGCAGGGCAGGCCTGGGGATTGAACCCCAGGCCCCTATGCCTGCTTGCAGGCGCTTTAATCCGCTGAGCTATTTGGCTGGCCCTTATTTCTATTGATTAGTCAATTTACATTGTATTAAGGAATATAAACGTGTAAACAAGAGGATGTGCATCAGTTATATACAAATGCAGCACCATTTACATAAGGGATTTGAGTGTCTGTGTCTTTTGGTACCCAAGGGAGTCTTGGAGCTACAGTTATCTCCTCGGGCTATCCAGGGACGGCTGTTACACATCCTGTCCTCACTCAGTCTTCTCATACCTCATCAGAGCAGCTCTTCTGTCCAAGATGATGCACCGGGAACCTTCCCCACACCCATGCACTAACTCCCTCCAATCCTGTGCCAACTCAGGGTGCTCCTAAGAGAGACTTGCAAGCCAGGCACCACTATAGGGGGCCTGGCCTTGTTTTTTCTTTGTTGTTGCTGATGGGACACAGCCCTTGAGCATGCTAGGCAGGTGCTCTACCACTGAGTTCTACACATGTCCCTGCCCTTTTACCTCTTGCCACCTTGGACAGCCCATTGCACAGTGCCTAAAGGAAAAGGAGCCAACTTCCCACCAGGCAGACGGGGCCCAGCTGAGGAAGGGAAGGCAGCTTCACCAACCAGCGTTTAAGCTTCATTGACCTAAGATAGCACCTCATCCACTTGCCTGAGAAAAGGCAGCTGGCAGGGCTTCTGCTCAAAGCATGTCCCCTGGCCATTGCTCCCTGTGCGGGAATGGGGCATCCACACATCTCTTTCCTAAATGTTACATCCTAAAATGTGCTTTAAGCATTTTTTTAAAAAAATATTTGTTTATTTATTTTATTTATTTTTAGGAGAGGGTCTACAGGGTATTCTGGGTCTCACTGTGTAGATTGGACTGATAGTGATCCTCCTATTTACAGCCTCTCCAGTGCTGGGATTAGAGGCATGAACTACCATGCCCAGTCTCAATTGCTGTCTCAGCGTGCCATGGTGGGGCAGGATTGGCATGGCAAGCCCAGGATCGAACCCCTGGCTGTTTGCCCGGCCCAAGAATGTGTTGTTTGAACGAAAGAGCCCCCAACACCAGCACTGTCAGGACTCTACCACGGATCAGCTCATTCTGTGCAACACAGTGCGAATCACCCCATAAGCCCAGGGTGAGAGCCACTTCTGAGAGCCCTGCATCACTCTTCAAGGAATCACACCACACACAGTGTTCTTGCTGAGTTCCCTGGAGCCCCTGAAGCCCTCCTGGGTGTTACTTAAGAAAACAAAAGTTTGCACAAAGAGGAAGTTTAAGAAGCTAAAACTTAGCAGAGAATATGCAAAACAAAGAAGGCAAAGTAGAGCAAAAAGACTGCATGTAGATTTTTTAAAAAGTTGCCTATACCCACTTTTATTTTTAGCTTTTTAAAAAACTTAAATTATCAGAAAAATCTGTGTGTGTGTGTGTGTGTGTGTGTGTGTGTGTGTGTGTGTGTGTGTGTGCCTTGTGCAGGCTAGGCTAGAGCTGCATTTCACCCCAGGGTAAGTCACATTTAACTGGATGATACCTATAATCCCTGCTTGGGACCAGCTGGGACAGACTGAGACAACTCCATTGTCATTTCAGAAGAACAACTAATCTCCTGATAGCCTGGACCAGCCAACAGGGCAGGTCACCACAGTGGTGCTGTAGTCATGCTGCAGACAAGACATTTCATGCCTTTTAGTGTTTAAAAGAAACCTCAGTTTTTCTGAGATATTTCTGAACAATCATCCTAGAAACTTGTATGATTCAGAAAATTGCTTTTTTAGACAGGTCTTGCCATATAGTCTAAGCTGGCCTCAAACTTGCAGTGATCTTCCTGCCTCAGCCTCCCAAGTTCTGGGATCACAGGTGTGTGCCACCGTGCCTGGCGATTCAGAAAATCCTTAGAAAAAGTCCCAAACTGTCTCCTGTGAGGGCGCTTGGCAAGGCAGCCTTCTGAGGCTGGAGTTGGAAGTGGTCTGTGTGAAGTTGGGCCAGATGTCATCGGCTTTCCTGCTCAGTGTCGTCCTCTGAGGTCCCCCGGCTGGACCAGTGCGTTGGGTCAAAGTCTTCTCCCTCCTTTTCTGGAGAGGAAATGATGGACACAGTGTCCCAGGCCTCATCGTTGGGCGAACCGTCCTTGTCCAAGACCTCTAGGATGGGCTCTGCAGGGTTCTTTAAGTACTAGAAAAGGTTCAAAACCAATATTGCAATTAGCTTATCAGTTTCATATACCACACTTCTAACTTTTGATTCAGGTGTAACTTTATGCTGTCCACCAATGAAATAATTTTGTTTTTCTGCAGTGATGGGATTGAACCCAGGGCCTGGTATATGCTAGATACACGCTGTGCACTGAGCTACACCCTCAGCTGACAACAGTTTGTAATATGAGAACGAACACTCCTGTGGGCTCTCCTGTGGGCACATGGATCTTCCAGTCCAAGCACTCCCTTCCCCACATTCCTGAGAAACCAGTGCCTGACTCCTGGAACCCTGCAGGCTGCTAAGTCGTGAGCGGCTCACTGACGGCTAAGGAAGAACACAAGCGAGTCATGTGCCTCTGTGCAACCTCAGAAGTCAAAGTGAAACATGACTCATTCTCTTCTAACTCTGGTGACCTCTGGTAGGGATTTTTCACACTTTCCCAGCAAAGCCGACCAAAAGCCTTTGTGTTTTAGATTCATGCTTGGGTGTGACTCAGAGTAAACCACTTCCTGGAGCCCAGCTGGTGGTTCTCCCAGAGAGGGAATATTCAGAGTGTAAAGTCTGAGACTCATGGATGACAGCTGCTGCTCTGTGACAGTGTGAATCTGTGAGGTCCTAGTACAGAACTTTAAGTAATACCTGTGTACTTTCAATAAATACATCCTGACAGAGGACTAGAGACCACAGTCCTAGCAGTACCCCTGTCTTGACAACTGGGCTTCATGGAGCTTCTTTTTATTCTAGAGATAACAAACGTTGGAGTCTGTTTCTTATCCCTGTATTTCAGGCTTATCAAGGAATCACATTTTCTCCCTCCCTCCCTCCAGGCTGGCTGGCTTGGACTCACTATGTAGCCCAAGCTGGCCTCAAACTCTCGGTGATCCTCCTGCCTCAGCCTCTGGAGTGCTGGAAGTATAGACATGTGCCCTCACAGCTGGCAACTCTGTGACATTTTAGCTCATATCTCTGGGCTCCAGAGCTTGTGCCTTCTGCAGTCTCAGGGGATGTGCACATACCTCTTCTATTTGTGATGGGATCCTTGGTGGAGTGTGAAACCAATACTTGATGAGCCCTTGGTATTTCAGGACCAGGAAGATACAGCCCCCGGTCAGTACCAGCAGCAGCGCAAAAGTTCCCACTGAGATCAGGACGATCTGCTGCAGCCTGATGGAGGCTGGAAGGGGATGTCACAGTGAGTACAAACTCCCCATGATACAAATGGTTGGTTCAGTCTTCACCTGTCACTGCTTAAATGGCACTCCTATTCCAAGAGTGGTCTTCCCCTTCCCTCTGCCTTGCTCTATTTTTTTTTTCTTTGCAGTATGAGGATTGAACTCAGGACCCTGCGCTTGCCAGGCAAGCGCTTATTCTGCTGAGCTATCTCCCGGGGCCTTTTTTTTTTTTTGAAGACAGGGTTTCACTATGCACCTCAGGCTAGCTTCCAACTTACTATGTGGCCCAGGCTGGCCTCAAACTTGCAGCCATCCTCCTGCTTCAGCCTTCCAAGTGCTGGGCTTACAGATGTGTGCTATGCTAACACACCCAGCTCTGCCTTATTATTAAGTTAATACAGGTTGAGCATCTCTAATTCAAAAACTTCTGGTCTGAAATGTTCCAAAATTAGAAACTTACTGATCATCAACATGATGTCCACAAGCAGAAAATTTCATCTGATGGGTCAGTCAGAGATCCAAGTGCAGTGAAAACACCATGTAGAATTCCCTTCAGGCTATGGTGGAGATTCTATGCCTGAGTCTTACTGTGTTTTGTGTTTTTTGTTTTTGAGACAGGGTCTCACTATGTATCCTTCTGCAGTCTCAGGGGATGTGCACATACCTCTTCTATTTGTGACGGGATCCTTGGCTAGCTTCAAACTCATCTTGATCCTCCTGCCTCATATAGACATGTGTCACCATGCCCAGCTTATTGTGTTTTTAAGAGAAAAGATGTTAATGTATGAGTTGGTTTTTTCTAAACAAAAACCTCAATATTCAGGTTTAATTGCAGTGTTGGTACTTTGCAATAAATAAGTGGCTTTTGGGTTGTACTTTGGGCACTTATTTTCTAAAAGGTTAGCCATCAGTGGTATAAGATGTATCTGAAACATACATGAACTTAGTGTATAGATTTAGGTCCCAGCCAGGCATGCTGGCACATGCCTGTAATCCCAGCACTTTCAAGGCTGAGGCAGGAGGATGGCTGAAAGCTGAGGTCCAGCCTGGGCTACAAAGTGAGTGCAAGGCCAGCCTGAACTGCATAGTAAGACCCTGTGTCAAAAAGATTAAAAAGGGACAATCCGCTTGGCCACCCTCCTGTCCCTCTCTCAGCCAGGAGCTTTCTTTCCTTCAATAAATATATTCTGCTCATTAAAAAAAAAAAAAAAAAGATTAAAAAAAATTTAAAAATGTAGGTCCCAATCCCAAGAAATCTTGTTGCATATAGACAAATATTAGTGGTTTAGTTTGGTTTGGCTTTTTTTTTTTTTGAGAGAGAGGCTCTCCCTATGTAGCCCAGGCTGTCCATGAACTCAGCACGTTCTACTATGCCAAGTTTAAAACAAATATTCTAAAGTATGAAAAGATTTGGAATCTCCAGCTGGTCCCAAGCATTTCAGATAAGGATATGCAGCCTGTAGCTTGTCGCTGGTCCTGTATTAAAACAATACATCTGCCAGCTGTCTTGCAGCCCTGCCCGCTACAGGGCCCAGCCCCGCTCCTTATACCCTCAGTTAGGTGCCTTCTCCTTCCCTCTTTTCTGAGTCTTCTCTGTCGTCACCACCTGTCAGTTCATAAATATTTCCTGTTCTCACTACTTTAGAAGTACTCTTTCCCTGCCTCCTAAAGGACACCAGGAGGGTATGTTACCATCTGCTGTTGTTTCAGAGCAGAATGTGTTGCTGAAATGTCCGACATTCACAATGTTTTGAATATTCCAAGACAGTTGTGCCCGGACTCGTAAACAGTACACTCGTAATGGCTTCAAGTTATTCAGCAAAACGGAGGTGCTTGTGACAGGGCCTTTAACCTACAGAGATAGCACAGGTGAGAATCACGCAGCCAGGCAGGCCTACACCACTTCCGGCTCTCCCCGCACTTCCTCAAATTCAGTGACTGTGTCACCCAAAGAACAATGAGATACTATTTTGAGAATCACTGCCTTCCAGAGGACACATTTTATCTGTGAAAACTGATGAACAAAGCAATAAAAAATGCTGCTGGCTTTAGGGCCTCCAGGTCTCAGAAACCCCATAGGAGCAATTTATCAAATCCCAATTTCTGGGGTAAAATGTTCTCTTTTAAGATGAATGTCTTATGCTTTATGGTTAATCTGTTTGTTTGTTTGTTTTTTCAGTATGGGGGATTTAACTCAGGACCTTAGGCATGCCAGGTAGGTGCTTATGCTGCTGAGCTGTCTCCTGGTCCTTTATGATTAATCTGATCTTGATATCCTGAGTTGGTTAACAGGAACTCAAAATTACTATTACATTTATTACTTATAATATAAAGCACTTCATAAAGACAGTGTGATACAAGGAAACAGAGAAACAAAAGAAACTACAGAGAGTTCCACAGAGTATAGATAATACTATTGTCATGTGTAAATTTTAAAATAATGTGCTTTCTATGATTTTTTTTGTTTACTTATTATTTTTATTTTTATTTTTCTTTGGGGGGGGAATATTTTGGGAAATAATGTCCCTTTCATCCTGACCTGCTTCTTGCCTGAACTGAACTGAGCTGACTCCCTTGTATAGTTTTGGTCAAAATGACCTAGGGATTTGTCATCAGGAGATGGCTGGACTCCAACTGTCCAGGGTAACCATGCCCTTTTGACCTTTGCCAACCTTCTTGCCTGCCACACCTCTCAGTAGGGTGGTTTTTCTGGGCACCTGTAGTTCTCCACATTTGCCAGGCCCTCTTAAAGGGCCCCACCCCCGATGCCCTGTCTTCTCTGGGTAAGTTTCACATATGCCCTCCTTGTAGACTTCAAACCAGGTGCTTAGTTTAACCCTGCAGACTGTCTGTGCAGTCCTTGTTTTTCTTGGCCACCATGAAATGTGGCCATCAAAGGGAGCGGAGAGTGGAAAAATGAGAAGCCATCTCCTGGGTCCCCTGGGTGTTTTCTGGAGCCTGTCTAACTACAGTGGAATGGAATTCCAAGACTATGGTGGTCTGCAAGGCTTATTAACTCTATAGTCTGAATAGATATGGAGCCACTAAGACTCCCCCAAAGTGCAGGGGTGGCAGAGGCTTCCTTGGCAATGCACTTACAATGTCTGCACCCCAACAGCAGGATGGGTGACACAAGGGAGGGGCCCATCAGTTCCCCTGGGGGATCCCAGGAAGGAATTCTGACAGGCTCTGGGCTCAGCCTCCAAGAGACTCCCTGGCCTACCTTAGTTTTCTTTCTTTTCCTGAATCAGAAACTCAAAGAAAATAAAAGCAAAGAAGTAAAATGCACTTGCCTGTTCAGTTCCACCTTTTGCCCAGTAATGGACATAATAGAATAAAGGGACCTCCGTGGGGTTGCCGGTGTCAAAGGGGGCAGAGAATGTGATGATGAGGGAGCCTTCTCCTGGGGTCACCACAATGTTTTCTGGAGGCCCGATGGTAACTGAAATGGGAGTACGAAAAGCTGTATATAACACACACAGATATACATGTGTGACTGCACATTACAGAGTATACACCAAGTCCATGCAGCATGTACACATATGCTTATGTTTGTAGGAACTGAGGTTGTACCCTGATGCATAAGCCTTTGAAGGGCTGCTCTGGGTTTGAGACACACTTGGAAGTAAACCTCCAAGTGGAAGGTGGGGTCCTGACACTGCTCTGCCTGGCCCAGAGCAGGGCCCTCTGACCTCTGTGGGCGGCTCAGTCCAGGAAGGTGAGGTCATATCAGGAACGCCACACAAGTTGTTTTCTTCCCAGTCACAAGAATCACTGCACTCCACAAATCTCAAAGGCATAGCTTCCCACCATATCTTCAATAGTATTCCAGCCAAGATAATGGCTCCCCATCAGGGCTTGTTTAGTCCTGGTAGGTCGTGATTTTGACACCTTTATTATAACTAAAGTCTTGGAGAAACAGAGCTGGAGGGTTAAGCAAGGGTCAGAGGGGGAAAATATTACCCTTCGTCTATCATGAAGTTCCAACAGAAGTGAGTAAAAGTGGTGTTTAATAACTTCTTTATTTTGAGACGGGCCAAGGGTATAGCTCATAGGAACAGGACCTGCCTGGTAAGTATGAGGTCTTGAGTTTGATTCCAGGTACAAAAGAAAAAAGAAAAAAGAAAAGAAAAGAAAAGAGAGAAAGAGAAAGAGAAAGAGAAAGAGAAAGAGAAAGAAAGAAAGAAAGAGAAAGAAAGAGAGAAAGAAAGAAAGAAAGAAAGAAAGAAAGAAAGAAAGAAAGAAAGAAAGAAAAAAGCAAGCAAGCAAGCAAGCAAGCAAGCAAAACAAAGCAAAGCAACAAGTATTTAGAGGCAAAGTTGCAGTTTGTTGCCCAGGATTCTGTTGAACTGAAGGGTTCAAGTGATTCTCCTGCCTCATCCTCCCAGGACTACACGTGTGCCCCTACACCTAGCTTATATTTACTATTTTAAGAATGTTTGTCTCCTAGCTTCTTGTAACAGTAAGATTGAACATGATAACAGAACTGCTACCATTGTGAATCTGTTACAGGTTTTCATGTAATTTGTAGGACAGTTAAGTACTGTGACTGATGATATTCTATAAATGAAAGGTGGCGGTGGTTATCAAGCAAGCATGTAGTGGTGTAATTAATTCCAGGAATTTAGATCAAAGTACAGGTTACAGAGCCGGGTGTGGTGGCTCATACCTGCAGTCCTGGCACTTGGACAGCTCTGAGGTGGAGGCCAGCTTGGGCTACACAGTGAGTTCAAGACCAGCCTGGACTACATAAGGAGGTTGTGTATCAAAAACAAACAAACAAACAAACCCAAATCTCAAAATCAAAGTACAAGCTGCATCCTTCAAGTCCCTTGAGCAGAGCACATCTTATAGTAGGAGAGAATCCCACCACGGAGTAGCTGGGCGTTCACACATTGGGGATAGCTTTCTCTTCCATTTCCATACCCTCCCCCAGTGCTTGAAGGTGTGGAGAAGGGCTAGATAGTAATGGAGGAGCCAGGCCCAGATGAGGCCAAGGGCAGAGTCAGGACCCAGCCCTGGCCCACTGCCAGCCAGTCCAAGGTTCAAGGCTGGGCTGCTGGTGACAAAGAGCACTTTCTTTTGGACTGCTCACAGACATTCTCCAGCTTCACTGGGCACAGCAAGGCAGCTGAAGCATGGTAACATGGCCACTTCACAGCCGCTGTCAGCTGAGGCTTCCTGTCTCTCTGGGATGCACCAGCCATGACTCATTGCTGTGGCTGAAAGGACAGTGTCCACAGGCCCACTCTTCTGAAGACTAGCCAAGTCTGGATCCGATCTGCTTGATTAGCCTCACCCCCGGGGCTGGGCACAGTCTGCCACCCAGGGATGAGACACTGGGTATCAGTGGCAGTAGCTTCCTATGTTCTCTGTGTATTCATACAGGATCTGTGCAGGCACCATACAGAGTTACCCCCATGTCACAGAGGAAGGAGCCAAAGTCCAGATTGATATTTTTTATTCCTTACCCAGAGTAATAAGGCCAGTAAGTGACTGTGTTGGAAATACGAACCCAGATGTATGAGACAGTAAAGCCCCCTCCAACCACTGTCCCATCCCTCTACAAAGTAATTTTCACACAGGCTGTCTTCCTCTTCCTCTGCTACTATTTTTTCTTTTGGAAACAGGGTTTTGCTATGCAGTACAGGCTGACTTTGAACTCACTATGTAGCCCAGACTGGCCTTGTTATCCCCCCGCCTCAGCCTCCCAAGTGCAGGGATTACAGGCATGCATCACCACATTCAATGCAAAGCTTCTGATTCTAACCCTATGAAAAGTGGCTAAAAGCCAGGTGTGGTGGTGCACACCTGTAGTCCCAGCACTTTGGGAGGCAGAGGCAGGAGGATAGCTGCAAGTTCAAAGGTAGTCTGGGCAATTTAGCAAGATCCTGTCTCAATATAAGAAAAAGGGTCAAGAATAGAGCTTAGTGTGAAGGGTTCAATCCCCAGTCCAAAAAAAAAGACTATGAAAGTCTGCAAGATTTCAGGACACTTGTGCTTCAAACTTAAAAATTAGGGCAGAGAATGCCAGCCCAGCCAGGAGCCAACCAAGAACACTGCTGAGCACCTCAGGGTGGGAGGACAGGAAAGGCAGCTGGCTGCCACTGGTTCATGGGTACCATTCTGTCAGAATCTCTTGTCCCCTGTGCAGTGGCAGTAACCATCATTTTTAAGCTCCTCTTTCTTAGGTGATCCTGGATAGATCAAATGTATGCTGGTTTTCTACTCAAGAACAAGTCACCACCCATACATAGTAGATGGACACTGCTGAGGATGGTGGTGTATACTTGTGATCCCAGCACTCGGGAGGCTGAGCAGGAGGATAACAAGGTCAGCCTGGGCTACATAGTGAGCTCAAGTCCACCCTGAACTACAGAGTGAGATCCTGTTTCAAAAGAAACAAACACAGTAGATGACCAGCCAGCAGGGGCTTCCCTATCATTTCTCTTTCTGCTGTTGATGTCTCCCAGCACAAACCTTTATTCTTGTACTTTTTACTACAGAAAATGTGGAACATATGGAAAGCAGAGAGGATCATAACAAAACCTACTCATACAACTTCGTTGATTGTCAACTTGTAGCCTATATTCTTTATGTCCATGTATTTTGCTCTTACCTCTCCTACTCTCTGGATTATTTGGAGCCATCCCATCATTTCATTTGCAAATACTTCAGTATGTACCTTTAACATATAAATTGCTTTTGTTTGTTTTTGGTGGAATCAGGGATTGAACTCAGGCCCTTGCACTTTTCCAGGCAAGCGCTTATTCTACTGAGCCATCTCCCTGGCCCCATAAATTGCTTTTTCTCACCTTTTTATTGTTAGTACACAAAATGGTATCATCCTAACCCTCCATGAGGTTATCATCATTACTATCCTTTACCACTCCTTTTTAAAATACAAATACCACCCGTAATCCCACGCCTTGGGAGGCTGAGGCAGGAACATCACTTTGAGTTCGAGGCCAGCCCAAACTGCATAGTGAAACCCCACCTCAAGAAGACAAAAACAAACAAATTGTAAATGAAGTCTTAATCTCATGTCTTCTTACCATTTCGAAAGTGCTGAAACCACGGCACGGTTGCCCAGGCAGATTCATGTTGTCCCAGCTCGGCGCGCACACGCAAGGAGACATTGAAGTGCTTGGGGAAGCCCTCAGAGAGGTTGGCTGTGGTGAACTTGCACTCTGTCACTGTAAGCTGTGTGCAGTTCCCCAGTTTGGGCTTGACGTCATTCCAGTCACTACTAGTACTGGGGAGAAACAACATGATTTCATTTCACATAAGTCCTTTCTTCCTGTATGACAGCATCCCCAGTAACTTTTTAAAATATAATTTTAAATTTTTAAAAAACTTTAATTTTGCTTCTTGGCCTTTTGGCAAAGATCAAGTATAAAAAGACCTTCTAGCTGGCATATGAGCCACTTCTTTTAAATTATACAGCTCAGCAGTTTTAATATATGCACAATGATATGCAAATATGACTGATTTTAGGATATTTTTACCACTCCATAAAACAATTTGGTATTGACTCGCATTTTCCTTCAACTCCCTCCCCAAGACCCAGGCAACCACAAATCTACTTTCTGTCTCAATACAGGTCTCTATTCTCCATGGAGTTATATACTACAGTGGAGTCACATGATATGATTGGTGTTTTATGGCTAGTGCTTTTTATCTGTTCCATATGACAAAGACCACTTATCTTGTAGTGTATATCACATCTTCATTCCTTTTTTTGGACCAAATAATATTCCACTACATTGACAGATCACATTTTGTGTATGTTTATCACTTGGTGGCCATAGGTGTTCCCATCTTCTTGCCGATTATGAATGTATGTTTTTGTGTGGATGTATTTTTCAGTTCTGGAGCATGTATCTGGGAGCAGAGCCACTGGATCATATGGTAACTATGTTTACTTTTTGAGGACTTTCCAGAATGGTTTCGAGAGTGATTACATTTTGCACTCCCACCAGTAATGTATGAGAGTTCCAGTTCCTCCATATCCTTTCCAACCTCGTTGTGTTTCTTTGATTATAACCATGCTAGTGTGCCTCATGTGGTGTGTCCCCATGTCTGGTTTGCTGCTCCTACATGGATAACGATGGCACACACCTTTTCATCTGTTTATTGGCCATTTTATGCCTTCCGTGGAGAACTATGTAATGAAATCCTTGGTCTCTTTTTGGCTCAGTTATGTCTTTTCATTGTTGAGTTGTAAGAGTTCTTTACATAATCTGTCTCAAGGCCCTTATCAGAGAAATGATTTACAAATATTTCTTCCTGTTCTATTTCTTTTTCTTTTTTTCCTGTTCTATTTCACAACTGAATGCCTCAAACTCAGCCTGCCTGAGGAATGATACAGTGGGACTTCCAATCACACTTTCTGCTGTGGTGGAGTTTTTGTTCTATAGCTGCCCCTACAGAGGGCTTGCCGCAGTCATTTGAAAACCTTGTGAAACACAGGGCCACTCATCCTGGTTGCAGTGCAAGTCCTAAGCTTGAAGCCAGTCCCACTTCAGTCTCTGGTCCTGAGCTCGAGGGACCTCTGCTCCTTCGGCTGTGACTCCGGCTTAGAAAGCCACAGATAGCTGTCCGACCCCAAGCCACCAGCCTTCACATAGCACACATGCTTCTAAGTATACTTTGAACCCTATCTGGTCTGTGTCTTCTCTCCAGGGAGCAAGTTGTGAGCTAAAAAGCCATTTCTATATACTTCTAGGACTTCTGTGCAAATTACCTGACACATGCGTGACACAGCCAGTTCTGGGGCCCAGATAAAAAGAGAGGAACCCCAATGTACAGGCCTTTCCTGTTGGGTGTGTGTGTGTGTGGTGTTCCAGAAGAGGTAATTTATTTTTCAAGATACAGAGCTTTTTAAAGGCATGCTAACGGGCTGAAGAGATGGCTCAGTGGTCTAAAACACCTACTTAGAACAAGCTTAGCAAAAGCATCAGGGACCGCGGTTCAATCCCCCAGCACCACATGCCAGCCAGCCCTGCCCCCTGGTGGGCTGAGCTGGCCACACACACTCTCTCTCTCTCTCTCTCTCTCTCTCTCTCTCTCTCTCTCTCTCTCTCTCTCTCTCTCTCTCTCTCTCTCAAATAAATAAATAAAAATTAAAAAAAAAATAAAAAAATAAAGGCATGCTAACATCCTCTGCCAATTGCAGCTCAAAGGTTCCTTCCTGGACTCACTATTCTTAACCTGTTCTCCCCTTTCCTCCAAACCTGCCTGTCTTAGAACTACTTTGTGCTCTACCCCATTTTCCTCCCCAGATTCCTCCTCCTCCTTTGTGTGTCGTACTGAGCATTGCACCCAAGACCTTTGCACTGACATATTCAGACTCTTTATGTTTACTTTCTGAGACAGGGTCCCACTCAGTCACTAAGTTCACCATGGGAGACTCAAACTTGTAACCCTTGTGCTCTTGGTCCTCTTCCCACTGCAAAAGCTTTACTGTCTTCATTTCTCCCTCCATTCCTTTCTCCCACCCCTTCCTTTCCCTCCATCTCTTATTCCCCCTTCCCTTTGAAAAAGCTCTCCATACTTCCTGTTCGTGTCGTTCAGCTTAATCAGAACTAGTGTTAGAAAATCTTTGTCAGAAGATAGGCTGAAAAAGGAGCACTGGCCATCCGCATTTAATGCTGCCTGACACAGAAAGCAGCAGTCCCAGGGAGCTCAGAGAGTGGAAGAGGGAGCTACTTCCGCATTTACTGGCAGAAAGGAAAATGCCTGTGCACCAGTATTTCTTATCTAGAGATTTTTTTTCTTTCTATTTGCTTTTGAAGATTCAGCTAGGTAGGCAGCAGGCCCTGTTAAGGTCACAGCCCGTCTTCATTGCTACCAAGAGGTAAGGTGCTGTGGACTTTGCTTAAATGAAAGGTGGAGGGAGCCTTGGGGACAGGACACCAGCCAGCCCCAGGTGCCTGGACTTGGCCAGTCTAAGGTTATTTTCTCAGTCTAAGTCATTCTGGCTTCTTGCAGTGAACCATTTTGGACTTCTCCTGCTCCAGCTTCTGAATCCAGGGTCTCCTGTACACTACAGATCTCCAGTTTAGAAAAAATAAACGTTAGAACAACTCTCATTATGAATAGCACAGCTTTAGTGTTCACTGGTTGGAATCTGGAGTCAGGTCAACAGGGTTCAAATGCTGGTTAGCCAATGTCTGCTTCTTAGTCTACTCATCTATATAAGATGGTGAACTTTAGCTTCTGCCTCCTGGAATTATCAGGACAAAGGAGTGAGTGAACACCAGGAAAGAACCTGGACCAGTACCCAGTGTCCAGTAAGCACCAAGTAAATATGTGTTAAACAAAGAGAATCCTATTTCTATCTTTAAAACTGATGTGGAGTCTACCTCCACCCCCTTCCTTATTTTGCACACTGAGATGGTCTGTCCTTGTTGGGTCTGCTCCAGCCTTAATGTAGGACAAAGAACCCAAGTGTCTGTGGTGGGGACCGGAAGTGCTATGGAAAACATCCTTCTGCAAGGTGTTTCAGTGCAGGCTCAGGCCTTTCTATGCCTGTGTGTTCTTTTGGACTCGAGGCCCCTTGTGAAGAGGCTTTGCTGGTCCTTGTGATTCCAGCAGCCGTGCTGTGTGCCTAGCTACTGGGGAGACCTCTCTAGCAGCACCTTGCGCCCTCCTCAGAGGCAGAAAGAACAAGGCAGAACCTACTCTTACACCGTACTTTGAGAGACAGGCAGCCATGGGCACTGTGAGCCATGTGAGCTCCAGAGCAGGCCCTGCTCACTGGCACCCTGGTCAGCTCTGTGGCTCACAGATGGTTCCCAAGAGTGGCACCTATGACACACGAGAGCTCTGTACAGCCTCTCTTGGCCATTTACAAAATGTTAGCTAAACGTGTTGCCTCTGACCCAGCAATCTCTGTTCTAGAAGCAAAAGGAAACGCTCCTCCAAGATGATTCAAGTATGAGGACATAGGCCAGTCGGCAGCTGCCCACGATCTACACCCTGCAGTGGGGAAAGGTCAAACATACCACATGCACTGCTTCATAGAATCAAATGAGCAATAAAAAGCACTTATGCTAGCAATCATATGAAAACATATGTGCCTTTAAAATGTGGGTTTTAAAAGGAGAAAAAAGAAAAGCAGAGCCCAAAACCATAACCCCAGCTTGTGCTGTTTTTACACACACATACACATTTTCAAACAAGGCATGAATTTGGGGGGAAAAAATCTAGTGAGAAGAACAATTGATTTTAATTTTATTTATTTTTTTCTACTTTCCTGAGGTTTCAGATTTTTTTTTTAAACAAACATGTCTTGCCATTGAAATCAGAAAAAAAAAAAAAGAAAGAAAGAGGAAAAAGTGTTTCAAAAATGCAGAGCAGGGTAGGTCTGAGACTTTGTGGCAGAGTCTGGGTAGGCTGTGCCTGTGAAGGGGCCTGCTGCCTGCTTAGCTAAGTCTTCAAGAGCAAACAGACACTGAGTTTTTGTTATTGTTGTTATTTTGGTAAGCAAAATCTCCAGATTTTTTAATATTGGCAAATAATTGGGGGAGGGGAACAGGAGGAAAGGTTTAAGTCCGATCAGCCTCAAAATTAGTAAGTCCCACACATGTAAACATATCAGAAAGCAAAACTAAAGGAAACCCCTCTTCCATCATTTCACGCATAATTAAAAGAAATCAGCCTCAATCGTGTCTTTTAGTGATCTCCCCCCAACCCCCTCCACCTTTTCTTTGCTTAAACCAACCTCTACACCTGAGAAAATATCTTTCCAAATGCAAAAGAAACTGAAACAAGCCAGTCTATGATATGATGCTGTCCAAGGGCTTTAAAAAAAAAAAAAATCAACAAAAGCCAGGTACAGTGGCCCAGGACTCATCCCAGATACTTGGGAGGCTAAGGCAGGTAGATTCAAATTTGAGTCTAGCCTGACAACATAGTGAAATATATCTCAAAAAAAAAATCAAGTTTTAAAAATTACTATTATTTTATCGGTCAATATGCAAATGTATTTCCTTGATCAAGCTAAGGAATGCCAGTAAGCCAGCTGTGACTTCCTCTTACTAAAAATGTCTTGCTCTAGGAGACCACTTTACCGACTGCCAAGCATACAGCCAACGTTGAGGGCATGTGACCTGGGCTGTGTTACAGACTGTGCTTGGTTCGGGTACCTGTGGTTCTCATTTTGAAATTCATTTTTTAAGGACTCAAACTCAGAACTTTGTGCTTGCCAGGCAGACGCTGTGCTGCTGAGCTGTATGCCTGGCCTGTTGTCTTGAAATTCTTAATATTTTCAGAATAAGGGGCCCACCTTTTCAGTGCACAGGGCCCTGAAAACTATGTAGCCAGTCCTAGAGGGATGCTCCACTTATGTAATTTATAACTATTGGAGGAACAGATAATCAGACTGTTATAGTGCACATTCAGAAATGAATCTGAAGCTGTCTGCACACCCCCAGGAATCAAATTTCTGTAGGTTTTCTACATTCCACTCTTATTCCCATAAATACATTCCAAATTTTACATAGTTGGAACGTCTGCCAGATGACACATTATGTTTTCTTAGTGGCTGCCTAAAATTACCTATTATTTAGTATCAGCAAGAAAAAATTACCCATTCCCCTGATAATTGATATGAATATGCATTTTCACACATAGCTTTGTGAACACAGTATTGCTCTGGTGTTTTTTGGGGGGGCAGGCTTAGATGATGTACTCAGGGTAGAAGTAGCACAGACACTTCTGTAACTCTTTAAATGTGTAAATAGTAAGTATAGAATTACTTTCTAAAAGGACTATGCTGATGAATCCTCTAAGAAGCAGCTTGAAGCATCTATCCATAACCACATTCCCATAAGCACTAAGCATGACCATTTCTTTTTGTTTTATTTAAATATAAAATGGCTTCACCAATAATTTTACCCTACTCTTCAACTGAAGTACTTATATGGTAAACAGAGGACTTAGTTTCCCTGAATTCCTTCCATGTGCTCACTGCAGTCAACTGATAACAAACTATAAAAGTCAGTGGGGTAGAATAACATGATAGTCAAAACAGAACACCACTTGAGAAACTGAGAATTCACTGTAATTAACTCAATTAAGCTGTTAAATTCCCAATCAAGCTGACTGTGGCCTGTGAGGTTATAAATGGAGCAGATTTTTAAACCTGAAGATAAAGACTGAAAGCTGCCTCCTGTCCTTCTAAGACAGGAAGTCAACCCTTGTCCTGAAACCAGGGAGAGACTAAACTTTCACTCAAGAAGGAGGCCACATCGTTGGAAGTCATGTGGTTAGACAGCAGCGCTCTGACAGTTCCTGTTGTTTAAGAGGAGTGGGAGGTTATGAAATCTCTGTCTTTGGAGGTTTTTTTTTTTTAATGTATTTGGTTCAGGGTCTTACTACACAGCTCGGACTCACAGTGATCTCCCTGTTTTCAGCCTCTCCAGTGCTGGAATTATAGGCATGTGCTACCATGCCTGGTCTTGGTGGCTGGCTGAGAGTGCCCAAGGGTGGGGCAGGCGCGGCATGTGATGCTGGGGATCAAACCCAGTCCCTGCACTTGCCTAACCAGGCGCTTATTGCACTGAACTATACTGCCTGCCCTGTCTTTGGAGATTTTATGTTTACTTTTTTTTTTTTTAATGTTTACTTTTTAAAAATGTATTTAGTACAGTGTCTATAGGGTCTCACTACACAGATCAGACTTGTAGTGATCTTCCTATTTTCAGTCTCCCAAGAACTGGGATTACAGGTGTGCTCCATCACACCCAGTCTCAATTGCTATCTCAGAGTGCCCTGGGGGTGAGAGATCCAATGCCAGGGATTGAATCCTGGTCCCTGCCTCTGCCTAATCCGGGACTTTAATCTGCTAAGCTATCCAGCCGGCCCATGTCTGGACATTTTAAAAGCATAAGAGAAACACCTCTTCCTGTGGATTTCACCACACTCTGATAGATGGTGATTGGCAGCTGGCTCTAGGGCTGGGTACTACTCCTCCAGAGCTCCCAGCAAGGACAGAACAGAAATATCTGCTTACTATTTATACTGCACCCGGTAGAGCACTGGTCCTGTGTTGTTGCCTGAGGAAGAAGGTTCCCAGCTGAGAACCTGCTCAGCGTTGTACAGGCGGATATTTGGGTTCCGAGGAGCAGCCAGCTGGGAAAAAGAAACTTGAAAGGAATAGAGAATAAAGGGGTTGGGGGTAGGGAGGAAAAGAAGAGGAACAAATGAGAAAAATCAATTACAGAAATACTGTCATTGTTAAATACACACTGCTGTCAGAGCTTACCATGCAGCCTGATTTCTATCCCCGAATAGGAAGGATATTACCTGTCCTCGCTAGGTCATGTCCCCTCCCCACCTGTGGCTCCAACGGTGGCACTACTGACACTTAGGGGGTAGGGGGAGGAGAGGTGCTGGGGCCACTCCCTAGTCTGGCTGGACTGGGAGCCCAGGTCTTCCACTTACAAGTGCACTGCAGGACTGAGTGCCTAGAGCTTTCTCCAGAGTGAAATCATGACAATGATCACACTTTCTCTGACTGAAAAGTTAACCAGAAATACTCAGGAGCAAAAGCAAAAGTTGAACAACACGCTGTCCCAGAATTCAAAGCAGGAAACTCAAATCACACATTTTCAGTAAGTGCATACTAAACATTCAGCCAGGAAAGGAAGTACTATGTATGGTACCCAGGCTCACACAGGGCTATCAGCCCAAGGCTCTGCCAAGTCCCACCTGAGCCTCGACTGCATCACAAATAAACAATACTCCCTCTTGCAGGACTGTGAGGGGCACACATGGAACTGTAAACACTAAGTTTCATTTTTGGGATGTGACAATGTCAGCATTTCCTGATTCTTCATGAATGAACTGCTGCTTCTGCAGGTGTCAAGCAGTTCCCAAGACACTACCTACAGTGGCCAACAAGAGGCTTCCCCATGTTGGGTACAGAATTCAATGGTTCTGAGCTGTCACAGACAGAATAATGCATCCTCCTCCCACGCCCAGAAATTTGTGTCCTGTGAAAAAGCCGTTACTTGGCAAAGGGAAATCACGGTTGTAGATAAAACTTAGGCTCCTAATCAGGTGACTCTAAAATAGGTTACTCTGGACTATCTGGGTAGGTCCAACATAACCACCAGTGTTTTTCTGTAGAAGCTGGCAAAGATGAGGAGACTGATCCACCTAGGCCTCTAAAACCTTGACTTTTGCCCCACGAAACTTGTATTAGACCTCTGCCCTCCAGAACTGTAATAAAATATGTCTGCATTGTTTAAATCACTACACTGGTGGCCACTTGTGCCAGTAATAGGAAACCAAAACAGTCCCCATAGGTGGGCACCAAGGGGATCCATAAAGCTGAGGAGGGGTACAAAGCTCCACTCCATCTTCCTTCTCCATGGTCCTGGGGACACTGATTCCTAAATCGTTATCGACAAGAGAGATGAGTAAGGCGGTGCCTGTGTGAGTTGTGCCCTGTGCACCTTACTCAAGCCGCACAGCCTTCCTACGCCCACCCACCACACCTGATCTACCCTAGACCCTGATGTTTTGGACTTCATATAGATTTAAGAATACACTGCCCTGGGTCTGAACAGCATGGTTTGGTTAACACAGTACACACATATAATAAAATTCAATTAATATTGAATTGATTTTTTAAAAATTTATTTTTCTAGCACTTAGGAGGCTGAAGCAGGAGAACTGATACAAGTTTGAGGCCAGCATAGGCTACAAAGTAAGTTTAAGTCCAGCCTGAACTGCATAGTGAAACCCTGTCTCAAAAAACACCAAAAACTGGGGCTGGGGAGATAGCTCTGTGGTCTAAGCACCTGCCTGGCAAGTGCAAGGACCAGAGTTCGATCCCTGGTATTGCATGCTGTGCTGGCTGAACATCTGTAATCCCAGCGCTGCAGAGGCTGAGAGGAGGATCACTATGAGTCCAAACTGCGCAGTGAGACCCTGTATCAAATAAATAAAAGACCAAAACCAAACAAAGTTTATTTTTGTACTGGGTTCCAAACTGGTATTTTCACCTTAGCTACACTTCCATGCCTTTCTGTTTTTTATTGTGAGGCAACGTGTTGCTAAGTCACTAAGTTGCCCAGGCTGGGCTTGAACTTGCAGTCCTCCTGTCTCAGCTTCCCAGAGGGCTGAGGTTATAACATGCAGGTCCAATCATTTAATCTTGACATCCCAGGACCTGTGCAGGCAGCATTATGATGAACAACAATAAGCTCACCTCAGTACCCTAAAAATGAGAAGAAAATACTCCCCATTTCTCAACCACAACCAGTAAGCCACTCTCTTCAGTAAACACTGGACTTCAAGTTATTTACTTAGATCATTTGTTCTTTCCACAAGCAATGGCTTTGCTTTCTTGGGAGTAAAATGGGGAGATTACCTATTTCAAAAGAATGGTTGAGAAAATATATATGAAGTACTTAGCACCCTGTCTTAAGAATGGTAGCTTACATCATTTATGAAGTTAACCAGAAACATTTCCAGCTATGTGACAGTTTCAATTGCAGAGATTATGGACAAACAGAACACCACCTGAAGTGCAGTGGTTTTTATGTTGTTGGAGATTGACTGTCTTTGCCAGTGGTCTCTAAGTGCACTAGAAAGTTTGGATGTTCAATTTAGCAAATAAAGGCAAGAAAACTCTGCAGCACAAGTACAAATACAATCCACTGAAAAAGGAGGCAGCAGCTACCATGATTACAAAAAGACATCTTCATTCCTCAAGGCTCCATGAAGTAACAAAGTAGCCACTTGACTCACTATATTTTCATGCTAGTGGTTATGTTTTCTATCTAGAGCAAATGGCTACCACCCAAATATGCCACAAAGTATGTAAGGTTCAATATTTGATGTATGCTATTCTTGTAACAACTCCAAGAGTAGGTATTATGAATTCTCCTTTCAAAAATTGTTTCCCCTCCCCTTGCCCAGAACAGCAACTAGTGGAATGCTGAAGGACTACTGTAAATTGCTGTTTGCTATACAATGTGTGTGTGTTTTGTATGTATTTAGTACAGGGTCTACAGGGTCTCACTACGTAGACTGGACTCATAGTGATTTTCCTGTTTTCAGCCACCCAAGCACTGGGATTACAGGTGCATGCCACCACGCTCAGTCTTTGTGTTTTAACTAAACAAATTTCTCTTAAAGATATCTCTGGATTATTTTATTTTATTTTTTTTTAAATTTTTTTTTGGTTTATTTATTTATTTATTTATTTAGTGTGTGGCCAGCACAGCCCACCAGGGGGCGGGGCTGGCTGGCATGTGGTGCTGGGGGATTGAACCACAGTCCCTGTGCTTTGCTTAGCTTAGCTTGTTCTAAGTAGGTGCTTTAGACCACTAAGTCATCTCACCAGCCCCTCTCTGGATTATTTTAGAAAAATTGTTTCACATGGAAAATTTCAAATGGCTTATTCTTTTTTTTTTTTTTTTTTTTTTAAAAAGGGATTGAACTTCAATTTTGTATTGTATTTTTTTTTTTTTTTTTTTTTTTTTTTTTTAACAGGGATTGAACTCAGGACCCTGACGCTTTCAGGCAGGTTCTTATTCTACTGAGCTATCTCCCTGGCCCTTCACATGGCTTATTCTTAAGTGATTTGTACAAAGTGCTACTTTTCAAAGGATTTGTGTATCTAGGCATAGAGGCTACAGACCAATCCTCCTGTGCAACACATCGAAAAGTCAGCCCGTAGAGAGTTGAGCACGCACTGAGTGCTGAGAGGACCAGGGCTCACCCCAGTGGGAGTTATAAACAGTTCACCAGCCACCCCAAGCCAGGGCTACCCATCCACAGCCCTCATACCAAGGCCATTGGTGTGCCAATCACAGCTCCGAAATAACCAAATGCCTTCCTGAAGGCTAGGGAAGGGTTGTGCATGGGTTAAGTTGTGAAGCTGGGGAGTAGCAGAATCAGGATTCAAATTCATTTATATGATTTCCAAGAAAAAATAACCAACCAAGACACATGCTCCTATGCACCCACCACCTGGAGAGAGTCCTGTCCAAAGGATGCAGATAGAAAAACCAAACCCTAACACACCCTTCAAATGGAAGAACTTTTATATCCCCAAGACTGTTTGAGTGCAATGGTACTGTCTTTACACTGGCAGAACCCCAGCAAAAGCTTATCAAACACAGGGAGAAGGCTCTTTGTCATTGAAGTCTTTTGATTTAGTCTTTATGTTTAGCTCGCATCAATTTGTGTGAGAGTGGAGGAGTCTGAGCCCAGGTAAGGGGGGCTCTGGGGCGGCAGAACTGGGATCACAAGGCTCTGAGAGCTGCTCCCCCCAGAAGAGGCAGCAGGGCATTCCTGCCAGCAATACATACGATTCTGGGGGAGCTACGGGTTTCACATCGAGGCCAAAGTAAAAACTGGGTCCTGGCCATATACTCGTGACTGAGGTCTCTGGCCCTGGGTGGTCAATATCAGGCTTTATAAGCAGGTCGCTCCCCTGGGAGCAACAGGGTCAAGTTTACAGTACCTGCAGAGTAATATTTGAGGCCACCGAGCTTGTCCTTGCCCAAGCCCTGGGTCTGACTTTACTTTGTTAATACTAAGAAATCTGGAGCGCTCAGTTCTCGGATGAACAGTTCAGGGGCGGAGGAAGACGCTCGGCAGCGGAGGCCCTGTGACTGTCGCCCTTCTGGGAAGAGTCCTAGGGGTCAGGGCGCGGGGAGGGGCGACGGCTCCTTTCCAAGGCACTGCCAGGAATTCCCCGCTCTCCGCCAGCCCCACGGGCTCCTCCCGAACAAGGCACCCCACGGACCCCTTCCGATCGGGACAGCCCGGGGGCTCCAGCGATCGGGGACCCCGCCCCCATCGGCACCAAGTCGAACCCCAGGAATGCTGGAAAACCCCGCTGCCGGCGCCCCGAGGTCCTCCCTCTCTACAGCGGCGCTCTGCGGAGGCCTCGGGGTCCTGGCTAGGCCTACCTGGGGGGGTCGCCGCGGCTGCGAGGCAGTAGAGCGACAGCACAAGCCACGAACCCGGGGACGGCGGTGGCATGGCCCGGGTGCCTGTATTCGGGGGCGGCCCGGCCCCCGCGTGGGGTCCGCGGAGCCGTTCACG